CTGAAAAAAATTGCAAACTTTTTTGATTTCTTGTTTCATCTCAATAGAAGTTTCTTGGTTTGTTTTTCATGTTGTTTGAAATAATTTTTCAGTGTTCTTGGAAAATTCACTCACCCTAGATGAGAGAGAACCTTTCCAGGGCGAATGCCTTCAGCTTTTCAAAGAATCTTTGTTTGATGTTAAAGGCATGTTTTCAAAATCCTGGCATCTTATTTAGATCAAAGTTGGTGTTTGGAAGGGTTTTCTTATTTATTTATTTTATTTAAATATCTAATAAAACTTCCAAGCTCTTTGTTTGGAAACAGGGGATAGGAAAGGCGTAGGCTGACAAGAGGCATTTGATATCCAGGAATGGTTGAGTATGAGAATACAGCAGAAGCTGTCTAGTAGGGTAGCAGAGTATCCAGGAGGGACAGAAGAAAGAAGGAAGAGACTGTATACACAGGTGGCTCAACCAGCACAGAAAGGAAGAATTGAATTCCCAGGTATTCAGGTGAATTTTTCAAATATGTCTTAAGTCCACTGATCAAAGAAGAATAAATTTTGTTCCAAAGTTCTTTTCAAAATTTAAGACCATAGGAAAGAGGATGTAACTCTATGGAGGTAGGCATCCAGGTTGGTCAGAAAGACTACTTTGATACTATTTAGTTAGGATCTCTAGCACTCTCAGTCTGCCCTGGGTATGTCCAAGAGTGTTGGCTGAAGCAGTTGGATTCCATGTTTGGAGTCATGTCATGTGTCGTGCTGACTCAGTAGTTTCCACATAAATGCCAGGCCTATAAGTGGGCAGAAGGAAACACACCTCTTGCTCTGTCCCAGCAGAAAGGCTTAGGATTTGGAGTGCCTGTTTATGCACTGCAGAGGCTCCAACAGCTCAGGCAGCACATTACCCAAGCAACTACTTCCCATCTTTAGGAAACTGTCAGACTGAATCCAGTTTGCAGTCTTCTGTTTAAGTCATGCTGTTGTAGCTTACTGAACAAATACTTCATTCATGATCAGCACCAAAGTTTGCTGTTTATCAAATGATTTCAAAGGAATCCAGGCTGTATCTTTCTTCAGCATCATTAGATACTGGCCAACCATGAAAGCGATCAATCTAATGCTGACTGTAATCAAGCACAGTAAGTACCATGCAATTGTCTTACTCATTTTTGTTGCAGAGGGATGAATAGGTGTAGCATTGACGCCTTTCACTCTTTATTTAATGTTTGAGATGGCAGACTCCAGAAGGTTTTCAAATTGTGTATACATGTAATTATCTCATAAGGAATCAGAGTCTTCCATTCTTAGCCCCTGCTTGGAGCAAATGTATCCCATGGATTTCAGAGATGTGTTGGGCACTGTATGTAAAGAAGAATGTCCTTCCAAAGTAAAAGATTACTAAAAGAGATTACTGAAAGTAATCTTTTAGTAAAAGAACTGACAATACCTGCAAGTTTCATTTACTCCATGTGTGTTGCATGTCATTGTTCCCCAACCCTGTACAAACAACAGAATAGTTCGACTTATTTTAATACTATCAGCAGTCTGCTATGAGGAGAACCTGTTACGACAGTGGTTAAGGGTAGCATGGGACAAGACTGAGAAACACCGATGGAGCTGTGCACGGACAGGTTTACACAACGCCTACCTTTGTAGTGCATTGCTCAGCTGCTTCTCAGTAGCATCTGAGGTCTTCAAGTGCTGTCACACCATAAATAGTTAGCCCGGTACATTATTGTTAATGAGGTTTTTTAATAAACATCAAAAATATTTTTGGAGAATGTTTATAACTGGGGGACAGATTAAATGGTTTACATTTGAGGACTGGGAGAGAGAGAGTTTGGGTTTCCTTAACATTAGAAAAGCCTTAGCATGTGTACTGAAATACATTTGCTTTAAAATGAATAGGATCGGGAACTATGTGTTTATATAGTTGATCAAAAGCAGGTATTAATCATCTCAACATAAAAAATACTGTGTTACTCAGAGACAGTCTTTGTGCTCTGTTCTTAAAGATTATTTTTTATTAACTTCTAGGACCCTTCAAAGTCGTACAAGAAAGCTGGAGAAGTTGCATCAGTTGAATTACATGTGGAAGAAGGTATACAAGTAGAAACAAATCCTTTATCTAAGAAAGTTACCCCCTTGCACTCTGAAATGACAGATTATATAAAGTCATCTCCTCCGACCCTTATCAGTAGCCATAATTCTGACTTAAAGGATAGAACACAAATTAATGGAGCAACAACGGTAACAGAAAAATTGGCTCAACTTATTGCAACTTGTCCTCCTTCAAAGTCTTCCAAAGCAAAGCAAAAGAAGCCTGGAAATGGAACTGCGCCTGGTTTGGTTAAAGACTCTGGGAAGAAGCTACCAGGAACCATAACTGCGAGTGGGTTAGTTAATAAAGATTTAGTAAAGAAATTGCCAGGGTCTGGTCTTGCTGTTGGATTGGTTAACAAAGACTCAGGGAAGAAGCCATTAGGGATTGGTAGTGCAGCCATATTGGTTAACAAGGACTCTGGGAAGAAGCCACAAGGGATTGGCCCATTAATTGGATTGGTTAACAAGGACTCTGGAAAGAGGCTGCCAGGGATCAGCGCTCCAACTGGGTTAGTTAACAAGGACTCTGGAAAGAAACAGCCAGTGACCAGCTCTGCAGTTGGGTTAATCAGCAAAGATGTTGGGAGAAAACTTCCGGGTATTGGCACTCCAACTGGGTTGTCTAGTAAGGAGTCTATCAAGAAGCCAGTAGGGATTGGCAGTCCAGCAGGATTGATTAATAAGGATGCTGGGAAGAAGTTGTTGGGAATAAATAGTCCTACAGGATTGGTTAACAAGGATTCTGGGAGAAGGATGCCAGGGACTGGCACTATGACAGTTCTGACTAACAAAGACTCTGGAAGGAAGACACCAGGGATTGGCAGCCCAGTGGGACCAGTTAACAAGGACTCTGGGAGGAAGATGCCAGGAATTAGCAGTCCAGTGGGATTGGTTAGCAAGGACTCTGGAAAGAAGCCCACAGGAATCGGCAGTCCGGTTGGTTTGGTCAACAAGGATTCTGGAACTCTGAAAGCAGACTCTCTTATGCCTGCCTCGGAGCCCTTTAAGCTTCCTTGCAATTCAAACCTCAGTAGCCTTGAAAGCCATGAGACTACAGATTTACTGAAGGAAAATAGTACTAGCAAAACATTTGAGAAGCATATTATGAGACAGAATAAAGAAAGTATCTTGGAAAAATTTTCAATTCGGAAAGAAATTGCTGATGTAGGCAAAGAGATGTTTAATGAAGGAATCTGTGTTCCACAGGATGCTTACTCAACCAGTGAAAAAGGGATTTATGAAACATCTAAGCATGAAAAACAGCCTCCAGTATATTGCACTTCACCAGACTTCAGAACAGGAGGTGCTTCAGACGTATCGACAGCAAAGTCCCCATTTAGTGCAGTAGGAGAGGGAAACCTCCCATCGCCTTCACCCACGGTGTCTGTTACGACCTTAAACAGGAGCCTCTCAACAGCTTCTTCACAGTTAGCATCCAACTCATTGCATTTAAGTTCCACAGCAGATCTCTTAGAAGGCATTTCAGATCAGATTGGCAAAACTCAGTTTTCTTCTGACAGTACGCTTCTGAATATAAACAGAACATTGAACCATACTCTGAGCACTGATTTTAAAGGTGCTGATAAAGATTTAAATGATTCAAAAGCTACTTATGTGGAAACTTCAAGAACTAGTCCTTCTACAGGGAAAAAGCCTATTTTGGCAGCTGAAACAAGCATTCATGCTACTGTCACCCCTTCAGTAGTTAGTTTTACAAGCTTGTTTAGTAGCAAGCAGTTCCTAAAGATTGGTGCAATAGCTGCATCAGATAAATCCTGCCAAGGAGCAAAAAATCTGAGCACTACTCAGCAATCAAAACCTTTAAAGAAAAGAAAAGGAAGGAAACCACGGTGGACTAAAGTGGTGTCAAGAAACACATGTCGACCTCCAAAGGGTCTAGAACTAGAAAGGTCGGAGCTTTTTAAAAACATTTCATACAGTGCACTATCAAGCAGTAATTTGGAGCAGGCCAAATTCTTGAAAAACATAGGATCGTCTTCATTTGTGGAGCATGAATTTGTCAAACATCAGTTGCCAAAACTGAATGAAGCTAATGGACAGTCTCTGGCACTGTTAGCTGAGACTGACAAGCAAACTCAAAAGTTCTACAGTTCTCACAAACAACCCTCTAGTTTGTGTATGTCAGATGATTTCCTACCTGACATGTATAAACCCAAAAGAGGAAGACCTAAATCCAAGGAGATGCCAGAGCTTGAAGGTCCCCCCAAAAGAACTCTAAAGATCCCAGCATCAAAAGTCTTTTCAGTGCAATCAAAAGAAGAGCAAGAACCTCCAATTTTGCAGCCTGAAGTAGAAATTCCCTCCCTAAAACAGAGCTTATCGGGACAACCTTTTCCTAAAAAGAGAGGGAGACCTAAAAGACAGATCAGGTCATCAATTAAAATGAAGCCACCTATTCTTTCTGTGGCACCTTTTGTTGGAACAGATAACTCGAGCAAGATAGAGTCTGAAAGTGATCAACATCGAAGTGGGGATTTTTTTGAGAGAAAGGACCAGCTCCGAGGGCCAGAAGAAGTCCAAAATCCTAATATTTGTAGCATGACTGATTTGGAAGTAGACCCAGACAGAAAAGTTGCCAAGAGAAATAATGGACAGTTAATGAAAACAATTATTCGAAAAATAAATAAAATGAAAACTCTGAAGCGAAAGAAACTTTTGAATCAGATTCTCTCTAGTACAGTGGAACCACATAACAAAGGGAAAGTACAATCTAAACTCCACAATACAGTGTCAACTCTTGCTGCTACATTTGGTTCAAAATTAGGCCAGCAGATAAATGTCAGCAAGAAAGGAACAATTTATATAGGAAAAAGGAGAGGAAGGAAACCTAAAGCTGTCCTGAATGGTATTTTAACTAGCAGTTCTGCCAGTTTGACAGTTCTCGAGAAGTCGGCTCAACAAGCGCCTGGTACGTCACTAGGACAAGTACTTCCCCATCTACTGCCTTCAGCAGCTAATAATTCCGAGATTCTGCCATCTCCAGTTTGCTCCCAGTCATCTGCAGTGAGTGGGGGACAGAGCCCTGTCAGCAGCGATGCAGGATTTATTGAGCCCAGCTCGGTGCCGTATTTACACATACACTCCAGACAAGGAAGTGTTGTTCAGACACTTGCGATGAAAAAAGCTGCTAAGGGAAGGAGGAGATTATCTCCACCTACGTTGTTGCCAAACTCCCCTTCTCACTTGAGTGAGCTGACATCACTGAAAGAAGCCACTCCTTCCCCAGTAAGTGAGTCTCACAGCGATGAGACGATTCCCAGCGACAGTGGAATAGGAACAGATAATAACAGTACTTCAGATCGAGCGGAGAAGTTTTGTGGGCAAAAGAAGAAAAGGCATTCGTTTGATCATGTTTCCCTTATTCCACCTGAAACTTCCACCGTTTTAAGTAATCTAAAAGAGAAGCATAAACACAAATGTAAGCGCCGCAGCCACGATTACCTTAGTTATGACAAAATGAAGAGACAGAAGCGAAAAAGGAAAAAGAAGTACCCTCAGCTTCGAGGTAGGCAGGACCCAGATTTCCTCGCCGAATTAGAAGAATTAATAAGTCGATTAAGTGAAATTAGAATAACCCACAGAAGTCACCATTTTATACCCCGAGATCTACTGCCTACCATTTTTAGGATAAATTTCAATAGTTTCTATACCCATCCTACTTTTCCTTTAGATCCTTTGCACTACATTAGAAAACCTGATTTAAAGAAAAAGAGAGGCAGGCCTCCAAAAATGCGGGAGGCTATGGCAGAAATGCCTTTTATGCATAGTCTCAGCTTTCCTCTCTCCAGCACTGGGTTCTACCCCTCTTACGGCATGCCTTATTCTCCTTCTCCCCTTGCAGCTGCTCCCATAGGCTTAGGTTATTATGGAAGGTACCCTCCAACTCTTTATCCTCCTCCGCCTTCTCCTTCTTTTACTACCCCCTTGCCACCACCTTCCTACATGCATACAGGCCATTTGCTTCTCAATCCCACCAAATATCACAAGAAGAAGCATAAACTTTTACGCCAGGAGGCTTTCCTCACGACAAGTAGGACTCCGCTCTTGTCGATGAGCACGTACCCGAGTGTTCCACCTGAAATGGCTTATGGCTGGATGCTGGAACATAAGCATAGACATCGCCATAAACACAGAGAACATCGTTCTTCTGAACAACCGCAGGTTTCCATGGACACTATAACAGCTAATAGCTCTTCTAGAACAGTTTTGGAGTCCTTGAAGCGCTACAGATTTGGGAAGGAGGCTGTTGGTGAGAGATACAAACATAAAGAGAAACACAGATGTCACATGTCTTGTCCACACCTGTCACCTTCAAAGGGTTTGCTAAGCAGAGATGAACAGTGGGTCAGGAGAGAGCCTTCGGAGTCTAATTCATTAGCACTGGGATTGCAGACACCGCTACAGATAGACTGTTCAGAAAGTTCCCCAGGTCTGTCCCTGGGGGGATTTACTCCGAGCTCTGAACCAGCCAGCAGCGATGAACACACGAATCTTTTCACAAGTGCAATAGGCAGCTGCAGAGTCACAAACTCTACCAGCACCAATGGACGTAAAAAATTAACTGACAGCCCTGGACTCTTCAGTGCACAAGACACCTCCCTAAATCGACCTCTCAGAAAGGAACCGTTGCCTTCTATTGAAAAGGCACTGCAGCCACTGTCAGGTAAGGGAGCTCTAATTGTGCGTACTTTCCTATGAGTTGCTGTTTGATGCTATACCAAACGTGCACTAGGGAAGGAGGGCAAGTATAGCTTTGGCTTTGTAGGAATCTTTGTGTTGAATTTCAGTCCTACTCTTGCTGTCGCTCTTGAGTGTCTGTGTTCTGTTAGAGCACAGCTCTGTGCAGTGTTTGGTACAGACTAACGTAGTGTCTTCTCCAGAGCTGCTTATGGGGTTGTGTAAGTACCTCTTCCCACCGGATTTTTCTTGCTTTGTTATAGCAGTATATAAAGTTATGCTAAGGACTCTTTCTTATGAAAAGGTCTTTTCTTTTTCCTTACAATTTTAACTTTCTGGAGAAATGAATTAAAATTCCTCAGGATTTCTGATACTTTAGAAGCCATGTTTCTGTTTGTTTTGAAGTTTGGATGATTTGGTTTAGACTATCTATTGGTACTACTATTGTGAATAACATTTCCGTTTAAGAAAATGTTTCCTTTTTCTTTTGTAACTCCCTTTTAGTTATTTTGATAATGTCTGCTACAGTATAGCTTTTGATCCCTGACTTGAGGCCTCTCGCAGTACCTCAGAACAGTTGCTAAATGATGCTGGGAATGCCTAAGACCAAACCTCGTAATGACTGCTTTATTCATAGTTGGGAAATCATTTTACGTAGCCTCAAGCAAAACCGAAACAGAACTAGCTGAGACTGTATACACAGAACATTGCAGTGACGCTGACAGAGGGTTGCTGTTTAAGGAAAAGACCTCCACTCTGAAACTGTGCCATTTGCATAATGTTAAGAGGGGAAAAAAAAAAATCTAATGTGAAGTTTAGGACTTGAAGAAACTATTATACATCACTTTCCCTCCTGGCTAAAGTGTCACTTCATGCTGTACTTTATTATTGCAGATGTTTTTGGGAATGATTTTCACATTTTATCCATTTCTGTCTTAACTGGCATGGGCACATTAGACCTCGTAACAAAGACAACCTGCAAAAGAGAAAAGTGTGCCTTGTGCTCTTTCTGGCTTACTTCTGAGGCATAAAGGAAGTCTGATAGCTCCTCCTCCCTCCCTTCAGTACTTGCCTGCACTCTCCCTTGAAATTTAAATCATTTGTCCAAGAACACTTGTGACTAATATTTCACAGGCCAAGAGCCAAGCAAACAACCAGCTACCAGTAATGAATAATACCTCCTCACGTTCCCTACTCTCATCTTCCTCCTTTTCTTGTGATACTCCTGTTCTGATGCCTCCAGCCACCACCCTGCTCTGCCTACGTATGTATGGAAGGGTTTTAATCTTTGTTTTATTTTGGCATTTGGGGGCTTTATGTTTTGCTTCTTTGTTTTAAGGGCAGTTGGAAGTGTCTGGGTTGTTTTACAAGTTCGTAAAGTTACTTAGAGTTTACAAGTTTCTTCACGCTATTTCATATTATTAAGACTACTCGGGGTGGGAAGGAGTCAGGAGAATGTAATGAAGCTGTGAGATTGCTTCCCCTGCAGTGATGGAAAGAAAAAATTCAAAGTGGTAGGTCACCAAAAGGGTTAAATTTGGCTCTGAGGAGTGAAGGATTGGTTGTGGTAGCTCGTGCAGTTCTGGGAATTTCCTGAGGATTCCCATTACAGTGAATGATCTGACTTGGGTTTTTATGAGGAACAACCTCATTAAGGGAACGAGCAGAGATGTTTTAAGCTGAAACCTGCTCCTGAAGGCTCTGAATCACTCTCCCTCTTACAGTATGTTTGAGTGGTTCCTGGGATGCCATGTATCACTTTCAGTAAGTGTGTTTCCTGAAACGGAAACCAGCTGTTTTTACTGTGAGACTGGCTTTCAGCTCAGTATTCATCTCATTGCATCTCCTAAGCCCCACGCCATGTGCGTGCAGTATACCAGAAAACTTAAAACTGCATCTAGCAAAAAGCCCCAATAAAGTAAAAAGGCTGGCTGGTGGTTGTTAGTTTTGGTTTGGATTTTTTTTAGAAGATCAGTGTCTAGTTGCATGTTGTGTTTTGTTTTTAACTGTGGTGCTGAATTGTGATTCTGAAACTATTACCATGAAAGACTTAGATGTTTTTGTGTGCTTCAGAAAACAGATGGAGAAAGAACCTGTGGTGCCTCAAAGATTGTTTATTTGTTAAACCAGAATCAGAGGAGTTAAAACGAGCAGAGACCAGCATCGGGGAATGCCTTCCAGAATTGTTCTCTATGATCCATAGGGGAAATTCATGATACTTTATTTCAAAGTATCCCATATGGAAAGTACGCTTCCTTTCCATAGACTTCTGAATGTAAACCTTGCCTGGCTGAATTAAGTGACAGATTCTTTCTGTGGTATTAGCTGATGCTAGATATTTTCAGAGATTGCCTGTGTCCAGGCTGTATTGGAAACAGGCATGTTTTGGCAAACAGGACTCTGGTGAAGGTCTGTGTTTCACAGAAGGAGTAGTTTAGAAAGAAGTGTACATGCTGTAGGTTTCTTGTTTAATACAGGCAGCGTGTATGCACAGTTATGCCGATGAAGGTCACAAGGCTCTAACATTTGAAGATTTTTTGTAAGATGCTGTTACCCGTTCATCTGAAGTTCACAGGGGTTTTTACTAAACTTCTGCAGCTTCACGCCACGAGTCATGTCAAACTTTGGGATAGCTTTGGGTCTCGGTGTGCTGCTCACAGTTCCTGGAAGGAAAGGGAAAGAAAAACAAAATCAGCCGTTCAGTGGGAATCGGCACAGTTTGAGAAGCCTTTGCGGCCTTTGTGCCATCTCAAACCCGAAGGACAGGGTCGGGGCATGCAGTCGGACTCTGGCGGGAGGTGCACGTACCTTTCTGTGCCTTCGGGACGGTACGTCCAGGCGGGAAAACCCGCCTCGGCCCAGGCGAGCGCGTTGTATCTCGATCGCCAGCCCGACGGTTCCGCGCCACGTGGTCGCGTCCGTGAACGCACCGGCGCGTACCTGCCCGAGGTGTGACGGGCGGAGCTCCGCCGTGCTCGCTGCCCCGGGGCCCTTCCC